AGGGGCCCACTATATAGTTTCTCCTCCTCGGTAGATTTCTGGCTTACAAGGCTGATCTACTGAGAAAGCGATAGAAAGAATAGGCGAATGGGACTGAACATCCCCCAGTGACAAATTTGCTGATTTGACCCAATCCCAGCTCTGCTGTAAGTCTGGAGAGGTTGACTTGTAGAAAAGTGGATGTTCAGGTTCATTCTCCAGGAATGGGCAAGCTTCAGATAGATGAACTGCTTCAAGGATAGGCAGAAAAGGACATTTCCAAGAGAGCCAACGAACTTGAGCAAAAAAGGAAAAGAAAAAAAAAAATCCTTTGGCATGGAATTTCCAACTCTCCCCCTTCCCCCAAAGAAGAAAAATAGTGCTTTATAGTTAGGTTTAATTGGTGACTTGACACAGCCCAGAGTTATCTGAAAGGAAAGCATAGATTGAGATATTGCCTAAGATCAGATGGCCTGTGAGCATGTCTGTGGAGGACTGTCTTGATTGTTCATTGATGGAGGAGGGCCCAGCTCATGGTAGGCAGAACCATCCTTGGGCATGTGCCCCCAGGCTGTAAAAGAAAGTTAGTTGAGCCGGGCATGGTGGCGCATGCCTGTAATCCCGGCACTAGGAAGGCAGAGGCAGGTAGACCTCTGTGAGTTCGAGGCTAGCTTGGTCTACATAGTGAGCTCCAGGCCAGTTGGGGCTACAGGGAGACCCTGTCTTAAAAAAAAAAAAAAATTAGTCAAGCTGGGCGTGGTGACCCATACGTTTAATCCCAGCACTCAGGAGGCAGAGGCAGGTGGATCTCTGTGAGATCCAGGTCAGCCTGTTCTAGATAGTGATTTCCAGGCCAGATGAGGCTCTGAGGCTGCAGGGAGACCCTGTCTCAGAAAAAAGAACAAAAGGAGATGAAATAGACAAACACTCATCTTTGAAGTTAGAAGTTTCAACAGTCTTCTGTCAACACTCGGCAGAAGGAGACAGTGAAGGAGACATAATCAATATGATTGACCAATGTGACTTAATTGATATTCATAGAATGCCTTACTCAACAAATGCAGAATACACATTCTTTTCAGTTCATTGACCATTTGCCAAAGTAGATCATGTTCTGGCCCACAAAACAAATCTCAATAAATTTAAAAAAAAAAAAAAAAAAAATAAGCCCGGGGGAGATGGGAAAACAGGAAAGCCCAGGGGCTTGGGAGGCAGAGGCAGGCAGATCTCTGTGAGTTCAAGGCCAGCCTGGCCTACATAGTGAGTTCCAGGACAGCTGGGGCCACAGGGAGACCCTGTCTCAAACAGACCAAAAAAATAAAAAATATGTTCTGATTGACGGGGCAGGAAAGACAGACAAGGCATGTCTATATTCTATATTAAAAGGACACATGTGTACTGCATGTACACACTGTAAACAGCGCGCGCGCGCGCACACACACACACACACACACACACACACAGTGCTAGCTGTTCTGACTTAACCTTTAACTTAGGTGGCATGCAAGTCTCAGGAGCTTTGAGATTGTGAGAACCCTCCTGCACAGACAGAGATGATGATGAGGTACAGGCAACATGAGAACAGATGTACCAGCACCAAGAAAATCAGAGACAAGGCTGGCCACATGGCCAGCGGGGCAAGGCTAACCTTGCCTTTGTTCTCATTTCCCATAAAGTTGGCTATCAGGAGAAAACAGGGAAGGCAGCTCTCTGGAATGTTAATCCTGTCTTCTCAGATTGTTGCCTTTCTGAACAAAGCACAGTTTAAAGAGGTTATTGTCTCTGTTCGTTGGTGTTTGTGGTGATAGTCATCTCAAACTCCAATATTCTAATTATGTGATCACAATGGAATTAAATTTGAAATTAAAAAAAAAATTTTTGTGAGAAAGGGTCTTCCTGTAGCCCCAGCTGATATGGGCCTGCCTCAGTCTCACAGAGATCTGCGTTTCCGCCTCAGTCTCACAGAGATCTGCGTTTCCGCCTGCCTTCCAAGTGCTGGGACTAAAGGCATGCACCATCACTTCAGGTCTGATTTAAAATGTTTTTTAATTAAAAATATTTTTTTTCCTTTTGATACAGGGTCTCCATGTACCCCAGATGATCTGGAACTCTCAATAAAGACCAGGTCTTGATCTCACAGTGCTCCTCTTGCCTCTGGAGTGCTGGGGATTAAAGGCGTGTGCCACCACACACAGATTTATTATTATTATTTATTTATTTATTTTATTTATTTATTTATTTTTTTGTCTTTTTGAGACAGGGTCTTCCTGTAGCCCCAGCTGCCCTGGAACTCACTATGTAGACCAGGCTTGCCTTGAACTCACAGAGATCTGCCTGCCTCGGCCTCCCGAGTGCTGGGATTAAAGGCATGTTCCACCATGCCCCGCTTTAAGATTTATTTTTTAGGGGCTAGAGAGATGATGACTCAGAAGTTAAGAGCACTGGCTGCTCTTCCAAAGGGCCTGAGTTCAGTTCCCAGCACCCACTTGACAGCTAGCAATCATCTGTAATACCAGTTCCAAGAAACCAATGCCCATTACTTTGGGCCTCTTTAGGCACCATTCACACACATTAACAAAAATGTATGCTTTATTTATTTGTGTCTGTGTGTGTATATGTACGCACATGTGTGTGCAGTGCACACAGAGGTCAGAAGACAGTATTGAATCCCCTGGAGCTGGAGCTAGAAGTGGTCATGAGTCATGAAACTTAAGTGCTGAGAATCAAAACTCAGATCCTCTGCAAGAGCAGTACCCAATTCAACTACTGAACCCTCTCCAGCCCTAGAAATTAAAATGTAAAAACAGTAAAAAGGGGCTGCAGATCTAGTTTGGTGATAGAGTACTATGTAGCATGCATAAGGCCCCGAGTTCAATCCCAAGCACCACAAAAAAAGTAAAAAATTCAAATCACATATCCCTAGAAGATTCCAAAATATTAAAAAAGCCAAATAATCCACCAGATGTGGTGGTGCATACCTTTAATCCCAGCACTTGGGAGGCAGAGGCAGCAGATCTCTGTGAGTTCAAGGCCAACCTGGTTGGTCTACATAAGGAGTTCCAGGCCAACTGGGGTTACAGGGAGACCCTGCCTCGTTTTGGTGGGTTTTTTTTTCTTAGTTGTTTTTGTGGTTTGGTTTCATTTTCATTTATTTTCGCATCCAGTTTGGAAAGCATTTGAACCGAATGAAATTTTAGTTTCACAATTGTGCAAAGTTCAGATGGGTTGGAAATGTACTCAGTTGGTAGTGTTTGCCTGGTGTGTGCAAAGCCCTGGGGTCAATCCCTAGCACAGCATAAAACAAAGAACGGTAGCATATGCCTGTTTTCCCAGCACTCAGGAGGTGGAGGCAAGGAAGAGCGAGGGCTCACAGTGAGCCATAGTGAGCTAGAGACCAGTCTGAGACATAGGAGACCCTGTCTCAGAAATAAATGAATAAGCCAGGCGTAGAAGCACATGCTTTTAGTTCCAGCACTCGAGAGGCAGAGGCAAGTGGATCTCTGTGAGATCAAAGTCAGCCTGGTTTACATAGCGAGTTCCACATCAGTTGGGGCTACAGGGAGACCCTGTCTCAAAAAGACCTAAATAAATAAATGAATAAATAAGTAAAACAGAAAAATTCATAACATTAAATATCAATATTAGAAAAGAAGGAAAAGATCTTAAGTTAGGGTTGTCAAATTTAGCAAATAAAAAGACAAGATACCCAGCTGAATTCAAATTTCAGATAAATAATGATTCAAATATATCCAATATTCTATTGATTTCTGATATTTGCAATATGTGTATATTTTCTTTCTTTCTTTTTTTTTCCTTTTTGGTCTTTTTGAGACACGGTCTCCCTGTAGCCCCAGCTGGCCTAGAACTCACTATGTAGACCAGGCTGGGCTTGAACTCTCAGAGATCCACCTGCCTCTGCTTCCTGAGTGCTGGGATTAAAGGCGTGCACCACCACACCTGGCTTGTATATTTAGAGATGAACAATATCAATTTTAGAAATACTACAAGAATAGGGGCTGGCTCAGTATAGATAAAGCTAGTTGCCTGGAGTTCAGATCCCCAGAACTCACATAAAAGCCAGGCAGGCATGGGAGCCACCTGTAATTTCAACACTCAAAGGGCAGAGACGCTGAGTCACGCTGGCCAGATAGAGTAAAACCTGGAATTGGTAGTTCTGGGTTCAGCAAAAGTCCTTGGCTCAATAAGTAAAGTAGAAAGGGACGGATGAAGATACCTAATGTCAGCTTTGGGTTTACACACACACACACACACACACACACGCACACACACACACACACGTACACACATACACACACACACAAAATGAATAAACTTTTAAAAATATATTGAAAGGAGAGGGCTGGTTAAGAGTGCCTACTGTTCTTGCAGAGAACCCAAGTTTGGTTCCCAGCACCCATGTCAGGAAGCTCACAATGGCCTCTAACTCCAGTTCCAGAGGAATCCAATGCTTGTAGCCTCTGAAGGAACCTGTATTCATGTACACACACACACACACACACACACACACACACACACACACACACACCACTCCACACAAATAAAAATTAAAAAATAATAATAAATCTTTTAAAAATATATTACAAACCAGACATGGGGGCTCACAATTGTAATCCCAGCACTCGGGAGGCGTAGATAGGCAGGTGGCGTAGATCAGGGCCAGCATGGTTTATACAGTGATTTCCAGGCTAGCTGGGGCTACAGGGAGACCCTGTCTCCAAACATATATATACTTATATATATTATATATAAAACACAAGGAGAATAACAGAACAGCACAGACTCCTTGAAAGATATGGCAAAACCCACTCAAGGGAAAATAGGTAAACAAAATAGCTTTATATTTACTAAAAAGTGACTTTTTTAAAAAAAAAGTGACTTTGTAATTATACTATGCATCTTACAAAAATGCTCCTAATCCAGGCCCGGATGGCTATACTAATGAATTCTACCAAACACTTAAGGAAAAAAATAATGCCAAGCCCATAAAAACTCCCAGAAATGCTTGCTTTGACAACACATTTACTGAAACTGGAATGATGCAGAAATTAGCATGGTGCTCAAGCAAGGATGAAACACAAATTTATGAAGTGCTCCATCTTTTAAAACAAAAAAACAACAAAAAACAGCAGTTAAGAGTGCTTTTGCAAGGACCTGGGTTCAGTTCTCAACACACCCAGCAGGCATCTCACAACCACCTGTAACTCCAGGTGGCCTCCATGGTGCATGCACGTAGTATACATAAACTCACCCAAGCCCATCTACACATACACATAAATAAAAATAATAAATTTTAAAAAGACAAATGAAAAAGCTCTTCCAAAGACTGAAAAGAAAGTGTTGTGTCCTAACTTACTCTGACAGCAAAACCAGATAAAAAATTGACAAGAAATTGCTGGGCATAGTGACTCAGCATCTGTAATCCCAGCACCTGAGTCTCAAACTTATTACAGCAGAGGATGACCTTGATCTTATGAACCTCCTGCATCTACCTCCTGAATACTGAGATGATAGGCATATGCCACTACACCCAGTTTATGAAGTTTTAGGAGCAGAACCCAGGATTTCAGATGCTAGGCAAGCATTCTAGCAAAGAACTACATCCACAGCCCTAGACATAAATATTCTAACCAAAAAAAAATTTAATTAAATAAAACAAAGGCTAGATACATTTTTTTTTTTTTTTTTTGGTCTTTTTGAGACAGGGTCTTCCTATAGCCCCAGCTGTCCTGGAACTCACTCTGTAGACCAGGCTGGCCTTGAACTCACAAAGATCCACCTGCCTCTGCCTCCCAAGTGCTGGGATTAAAGGCGTGTGCCACCACACCCGGCAGACTAGATACATTTTTACCTGGAAAAGTGAAAAAATTGAAAATCAGTTATTGCACTTCACCACACCAATAAGGTAAAGAAGGAAAAAATCATATGATCATTTCAATAGATACTGAAAAAGCATTTGATATAAATATGTATTTATGATTTTTTACTATTTATTTTTATTTTATGTGTATGAGTGTATTGCCTGCATGTGTATAAGTGTACCTGTGTCATGAAGTGTCAGAAGAGGGCATAGGATCCCCTGGAATTGGAGTTATGGATGGTTGTTAGCCACCATGTAGGTACTGGGAAGCCAACCCAGGTCTTCTGCAAGAGCAGCCAGTGCTCTTAACTGCTGAGGCATCTCTCCAGCTCCAGTATTTATGAGTTTTAAAACAAGCTGTTGGCGGGCGTGGTGGCGCATGCCTGTAGTCCCAGCACTTGGGAGGCAGAGGCTGGTGGATCCCTGTGAGTTCAAGGCCAGCCTGGTCTACAGATGAGTTCCAGGACAGCTGGGGCTACAGGGAGACCCTGCTTCAAACAGACTGCATCACATCTTTGTAGAGGTCCTTTTGAGATGGATCCAGCAAAGCCCATTATTCCAAGGTGAAGTGCACAGCCACACCCTCAAAGGTCACTGACTCCTTATTCCTAGAGCTTGTTTGTAAATGTTTCTCTTCCCTTTCCTCTTTAATTCTTCTTAAAAAGTTGTCAATAGGGACTGTAGGAATGGCTCAGCAGTTAAGAACTTGCTGTTCTTGCAGAAGACTCAGGTTTAGTTCCCAGAACCTATGTGGTGGTTAACAACCATGCAGTAATTCCAGTTTTAGGGGATGTGATGCCCTCTTCTGGTCTCCACATACATTGCATACATTTACACACATGCAGACAAAATACTCATACACATAAAATACAATAAATAAACTTAAAAAAAATCTGTCAGTGTTCAGATGTGATAGCATAAGCTTTTAATCTAAGCACTCAAGAGGCAGAGGCAGGTGGATCTTTGTGAGGTCAAGACAAACTTGATCTATACAGTGAGTTCCAGGCCAACCAGGGCTGCATAGTGAGACCCTGTTGGGAAAAAAGAAGAAGATATCAACAAAGTAGACGTATTTTCAACTTGCACAGGAATCGCTAAGAAAAAAAATTTTTTGAGATAGCATATCATGTAGCTCAGACTGGAGTCAAACATTTTTTGTATGTGAAAGTTTGATTTACTTTCATGTAAGTTGAGAAGACTAGGATAGACTCGAAGTTACTATTAATTTTTGTATTTTTGCATACAGAACTGATGTCATTTTAAAATATGTAGCTGATCACATTACAAACTAATCATTCATTATATTGTCAACAAACAGTATGACATTTCTCCAAAAACTAACATAGATCCAGGTTTAACTGTAAGGAGGAAGAAATCACCAGCAGTTGCTACTTTAGAACTTAAGAAACTATTTTCAACAGAATTTCATGTCATAATTTGGTTCTCCGCATCAGAATATAGATTGCTTTTCAGATGAAAAGCCTGGCTGGCAGAGGTGTGTTTGTTTCTAGTGGGGAGAACCAGGCCAGAGAACTACTGGGGAGTAAAGGAAGCTACATCTCTCTGGTCAGACAACCACGTGAGGAGGTAGTTTCTCAGAGTTCTTCAGTACACTGTTATGGTGGTTTGCTGGGAGCTAGGGAGGTAGCCTGAGCTACTAAGATGAAGAGCAGCAGGGATACTTCTCTAGGCAAGTTAGAACCGGGGTCTCAGAGCAGCATCAAAGTAGCTCATTCCTTTCGACAGAACTTTTAAAGTACTTTGTTCCATTACCACACAACTCCATACAACCTTGGGTCCCACCATCACTGCCGTTGAGCTTTTTCACTCTGTCCTGGCATATCTCCCTTACCAGTGTGGAAAAGGCGTCTCCACACCCTGTCTGGTCTTGCTGAGGTTTCACCGTGGCCTTGCTTTGTGTCATCTGTTCTTGTTGGCAAGTCTCAGTTGTTTCCTACCAGCACCTTAGGTACATCTTCATAGTCTTTCATTCCCCTAATCTGCAAATGACTTGCTGTTATTGATGGCATACACACAAAAGAAAGCCTCACCTGTCCTCATCTGTTGGTCTGTCATGGCACTGCATTCTTCTTGTCCAGCTGTGTCCAGTATGTCCAACAGACAGGTCTCACCATCGGTTGCCACTGTGTTCAATAAGAATCATCAATGGTATATTCATATTCACTGCAGAGTGTTTCTGAATTAGCTAGACTGTCAATGAACTTTCCCCAGCATCACCTGCTCCAAACACTGCCAGTTCTCCATTAATTCACACCAGTAAGAACCTCAAGTTCCATTAACCCAGTTGTAAGGTGGTTTACAACTACCTGTAAATACAGCTCCAGGGGATCCAATGCCCTCCACAGGTACTACCACACCTGGCTAGAATGATTACTCCAAGATATCTTTTATTGATCCAAGCCCACTTCAGGGGAAGAAGTCACTGAATTGAGAAAGATGCATGCTTTAAAATTCAATTACAAGCCAGGTGAGGTGGCATATACCTGTAATCCAGCACTTGGGAAGCAAAGGCAGAAGGATCGCCACAAGTCTAAAGCCAACTTGAGCTATATAGTGAGACCCTCACACACACACACACACACACACACACACACACACACACACACACGCATGCACACATCATTAAAAATACCCCACCCACCAATAAAATTCAATTAGAAAATGAGGAAACAATTTTTTAAGAAAAAAAGGCTAAGTGCCAGGCATGGTGGTGCACACCTTTAATCCCAGTACTTGGGAGGCAGAGGCAGGTGGATCTCTGTGAGTTCAAGAACAGCCTGTCTACATAATGAGTTCCAGGCCGGCTGGGGCTACAGGAAAGCCCTGCCTCCAAAAGACCAAAAAAAAAAAAAAAAAAAAAAATTGTTAGAGGTTTAGATGATTTGGGTATCTATAATTTCCTGGATGATTTTGTTATCCATAATTTTCCACCCCAGTTTTAAATTGTCATCCTACGGGGCGTGGTGGGGCACTCCTTTAACCCCAGCATTTGGGAGGCAGAGGCAGGCAGATCTCTCTGAGTTCAAGGCCATCCTGGTCTACATAGTGAGTTCTAGGTCAGCTGAGGCTACAGGAAGACCCTGTCTCAAAAAGACCGAAAAAATAAAAATTTAAAAAATTTAAAAAATTAATTTTAAAAAAGTTTCTTAAAAAGTAAGAAAAAATAAAGTTTTTATCCTTATCTCAAAAAAAACCCATTTAGACCACTCTAAATGAATTTTTGATATAGAAAATCCTCTCCATTCTACGAAAATAACTACTGAGATATCCTTGGGGTTTGCAAAAGTTGTGTTGGAATAGAACTTTCTTTTCATCTGAAAGCTCACATAGCATTTGTTTTTAGTGAGCTCTGCCTTTGGCTATGAGCTACAGCTCTATCACCCTAAGCATGAATCTGGTGGTCACCCCAGTATGTGTTAACAGACAGTGACATCATTTTTGAATGAAATGTTTCTCAGGTTACCATAAAATTGACTCAAGCTTCTGAAGGGATTACAGGACTGAACTCTGCTAAGTGTGGGGGTGCTGTTAGGGCTAAATCAAAGGTAACCCTGAGGTCTGGCAGGTACCTGTCAACAGGTAGGAGAAGGAGAAGCCAGTGCAGGAGCCTTGAGTTGGGATGACATTCTCCAAGCTTTATTTTCATTTCAGGTTAAAGGGTCAAACAGCAAAGCCATTCTCCGTGGTCTTTATTTATAGTTCTCAGAGGTGAACCGTCTTGAGGAAGAGGGATGGCTCAGGTGAGAAATCCATTTCCCAGCTCTGCTGATGATAGATGGAAGGCCTTGAGCCTTGTGAAAGCCCAGCTTTTTTATGAGTGTGCATTAATGTTTGAAGGCACAACACCAGGGTTTACCTTCTCTATCATCTCCCCTGTGGAGAGGTGTGTGTTTTCCATCTCTCTTGAAGAGACCTGTTTCTACCACCTTAGAAGGACAGCTGAGGAAGTACTGGTGACCCTTACCAGCAAGTTTGGCTAGGCAGATCCTCACGTACTATCAGCCTGCGATTCCCAGCAAGTCTTACCTGAGAGCTGATGTGCTAGGAGCAATATATCCTCTTACCAAAAGATGTTTCTATTTAGACTAATGACATGAAAACAAGAGATTTTAGTATCTTAGGCAACAAATTTAATTAACAAATAAGTACTGGTGACAGTATTTGGGGACAGTGACTGGACCATAGAATCCCTGAGAACATTTTCATCATCCCCCAAAGTAAAGA